TATATATATATATATATATATATATATATATATATAACATAATATTTATAAATGATTATAGCATTTGATTTGCAGCTGACTACAGTTAGTCCAGATTAAAAACAAATAAAATAAAATACTTAATTATCCTAAAATAAACAAAGAAAAGTTATTTTAAACTGTAGTAATATTTCACAATATAACTATTTTTACTGTAATTTTGGTCAAATAAATGCAGCCTTGGTGAGCAGAAGAGACTTCTTTCAAAAATATGTGCATTGTTGCATTGACATTATGAAAATAGGGTGCATTTTACCCACATTATCAATATTTAACTTAATATTTAACTAATCTATGATGCTGTAATGGGGAATTATTGTAAAGTTAATTTTTTTTTTTTTTTTAAGTAGTATTTGATTTACTGTCTATAAATTATCTTGATAAAATAAAATAAATTTGTAATGATCCAAAAAGGTCTGCATTTTATTTAGGAAAATAGTTTTTTTTTTAAATTACATTTGCGGTAAAATATGACCAGAGCATGTTGTCATGCCATTCCTTAAAGAGTTATCAGGAGTTTTCTGTCACTCTGTAGCCCATGAGAAGCTCTGAGCAGTAAAGCATTGATGCCCTCGTGCAGTCAGGCTCACCCCTTGTCAGCAGGAACAGAGGGACGAGAGAGGTTTGGAAAACGAGGAAAAGAAAGAGAGAGAATGGACCTCTGGGAGCCCTCAGAGTTTGGGCCGTCAGACAGCTCTCTGGAGACAGTAAATGGATAGCGGTGAAGGAGGAGACACAAAACTACAGACGCACTGATGAAGCAGCCAATGATTTTAATCAGCCAATTACTGATTAAACTAACATAATCAGCTATTTTGTTTTGTTTTTACGTACTTTTTTTCAGTAAGGATACATTAAATTGATCAAAAGTAACACATATAATATTGCAAAACAAATTGTATTTAAAATAAATGCTGATCTTTTGAGCTTTCTATTCATAAGACACGTTTCCACAAAAGTATGAAGTAAAATAACAGTTTTTAACAATGATATGAAATGTTTAGAATGATTTCTGAAGGATCATGTGACACTGAATGATCACTTTGATCACGGAAATAAATTACATATTAAAATATGTTCATATAGAAAATAGTTATTTGAAATTGTAATAATATTTAATTGTTTTTACTATTTTTGATCAAATAAATGCAGCCTTGGTGAGAAGAGAAAAACACTAAATAATCTTACAGATCCCAAACTTTTGTTAGAATTATTTGCTAAATTATGAAAAGTTTTCTTTTTATTGTGCATATAATGTATTCCTGTTACACATCCAAGCACAAGATCCAATCCACTAATGACTGAATGCTTAGTCACAACATTAAAACATTTTTTTAGGGGAAATAAAAGACAAATGACCAGCATCTGTAAGAGTCTATAGATTTGTTCATATTGTATTGGCCAAAATGAGTGCAATTCTAACAAAAACACACGACAGAAAGCACAGACACATAAACTTACAGACTGCTGTTGTTAATTTTGTAAAACTTGTGCCGCGCCAGCCACATTCTGCATACGTATTTGGACGTCTCCATGTCCTCCTGAAACAGAGCCAGAACATTTTTACTGAATCAAATCAGGCCAGAACATTGACTCGTGTGTTTCAGGGCCTAAATGAGTGGCGTTCTTTGGAGGCTAGCTACAAATCTATTCACTAATATGAATGGACATACACATAGGCATACGTGATAGCATAACTCTAGGTTAACTTCAGTCTTTTGGCTATTTTAGGAAGAGAAAAGCATCTGACTTACGGTCTGGAACTGGATTGTGTCTTCTTTGTTGGCAAGCTCCAGGGCAAAGAAAGACTTATTATGAGTCATATTATTTATGTCATTCCACCTGCAGAAACAATTAAGAGCTCGAGTCAGACACATGACGGCAAAACACAACCTAAAAACACGATACACTGGATGATAAACAGCCTTTTGAAGACGAGGGCAAGTCTTTTGACAATATCTATATTGATTATTCTTGCTCTGAGGAAGGGTGATTTTTTGCCCAATAGGAGGAAACAAAATTTCAATAAGTAAAATACAGAAATAAATCTATTTACAATCATCAATGCATGTTTTGCACACTTTGTTTCACTATATTAACACAAGAATAATCATATTAATTTAAACGCTGCAATATAAAACATTGTGATTAGTAGTAATATTGCCTATATAATATTTTTATTAAAACATTGTAATATGCCATGCAGAGACTCCCTTAAACATTGCTGACTGATGCAAATGTCTTTAGGAAATGTAATAGCCAAATGAATATCACGGCAAAAAAAACCTTAGGATTGCTAAACATCAAAAATGTGTCAATTTATTTTATATATCTCACCAGCTTTAATGAATGAATGCAAAAAAAACACACAAAAAGATGAATGCACACATACCGAAACATGAGAGGTGCTTTCCCATTTTTGTGCTTGACAAAAATCCCGTCCAGACATGAGCCGATAATCACATCTGCGCTCTGAGCATCCTGTTTAGACACAAGGAAAAAATCTTAAAATATAGTATTGTGAAATAATTATTCATTTAAAAGGCTCTCAGTGTCTTAAAATAATTAATAATTCAGTAACGGATCCTCTGCAGTGAATGGGTGCCACCAGAATGAGAGTCCAAACAACTTCAAACCATTGTTTCTGGCCAAAATAGTCGATAATCCATAATAACATTTCCTCCATAGAAAAAGTCCATCACCTGTTGTCTCTCACATCAAAAGAGCTGTTTTGGACGGTAAATTGTGCATATTTCTCTCCCGATTCAGACCAGATTACTTTTTCAATAGAAAAAGGACTGGATTTGTTGCTACAAACATGCAGCTTTTGTCTTCTCAAGATGTTAACTGATGGACTGGAGGTGTGTGGATTATTGTGATGTTTTTATCAGCTGTTTGGACTCTCATTCTGACGGCACCCATTCACTTCAGAGCATCCATTGCTGAGACACTGATGGAGTGTTACATTTCATTCAAATCTGATGAAGATGACTTATGCAAAATGCATCACGGGAATCTATTATAAGGTAAACTGAATACTTTAAAACTAAACACTCATAAATATATCCCGGTACATAGATATTTTAGGTGCATGCATTTCTCACTTTCACACTGTCAAAGCAGTCGTGTGCGCTCTTGCACGATGAGCTTGCACCCATGAAAAGGAACTTGAATTACACAAAGAACAGCTTTTCTTTGCTGCTTTACCTTCGCTTGGACACTCTCCCCACCGTACCCCTCCATCTTCTCCACCTCCTGCATGTAGAGTAACTCCGCCTCCGGTGCGGACAGACCTCTGGGAAACAGAAAACACACACACAGCTTCGATTTGAGACACTACAGCACAAAGGTCACATTCAACAATGCACTTGTCATCTGATGTCATTATCAGACTCATCTGTGCTGATTCTTCCTCATGCTTATCGTGCATTACTCAAACAAACAATGTCAGAGCATTGCAATGCGTATGTATATTTCTTCCAAGACACTAAAAAGTTGTTTCATCTGCATGACGTGCCATACGAAGAACTATATTATGTAAAGTATAGATTATTGTTTAATTCATTGCAAGAAAAAGCTTAACTAGAATATAGAATTTTTGTCTTATTTTCCAGTACAAACGTACAAATGTTTCTTAAAGAAAACTGAAGCACTGAGAAGCAAAGAAAGCTGAGACACTGAGAGAAAAATGTCTTGCTTTCTGAGAAATTCATCAAAATGAAGTGAGTTTATAATTAAAACAAGAACAAATATCTGCCAATGTGAAGAAAAATCAACTTAATTCAAAGGAAAAACATGTTTTCATACAACATTGACAGACATTTGCTCTTATTTTATGCATAATCTCATTTAATTTTGTTCAGTTTTTCAGAAAACAAGATATTGATTTAAGGCTGTTTAGATACATGTATTGGAAAATAAAGACAAACATACTGAGTAAATATTCATTTTTGCAGTGCATGCAACATTTAATGCCATGACTAAAAATGTAATACTTTTTTACTCTGATTTAAGACCTTTATTTGTGGTAGGAGTGAAATAAGACTTTAAAAGAGCCGCAGAAACGCTGATCAATACATTTTTTAATCAACTATTCAAATCCAACAGCATTTTGTTACCAAGGTTTAAAATAGAGCTGAAATTAGCCCTTCTTTCATAATGCATTATATAAAAACATGCCTTTTTTAGAAATATAGGCCTAAAGGCCAAATAAAACATCACGATTTAGATCATTTAGATTTTATATCAGCAACAAAACGTGGCAAATATTTCAAAATATATATCCCAGCCTTAACGTGTGCCGAGCATATGTAAACCACATCTGAAAGACTTTCTAAAACAGAACTTTTGCAGGAAAGCCAAGAGCATTTATTGTTGCCTTGTGTCCAAAGCTGAAAGTCTGGTCATAATTCACATCAGGGGTTTGACAGCTGCCTTTGAAATCCTCTAACAGGAACCATCTGAACACATCTGATAATCATGAACCTCACACAGACAGCGGCTAACAGTCTTTCAGCCTTTTCCAAATGGGAAAACTAGCACATTTCAGAAACGACTACAGCCTCTCACCGGTAGTTCTGATAGAGCATGGAGACTTTCTGGGTGGCCTCTTCCACAACCCTCTCGTCCTGTATCCATGGCTGAGAAAAGCGGAGAAACGGAGTTGAAATAACAGACTTATGACATATCCTGCAGCCTTTAAACCTAAAATAGACAATAAAATGTTCAATAATTCCTTACCATTGGAAAAAGCACAATTTTTTGAAGGAATTCCTGGGAGTCATATCGATTGAAGTCTCCAAGGTCAGCTAAAAACCAACAGACAAACTATGTTTAGCGTGAGATTAAAAAAGCCTCCAAATAAAACAATGACATTGATTCCTCAAAGGAAGACCCATGGGGTGATATTTTAGTGTTTTTATTTTTTACTAGATGCACTATATGCATATATATACACATTATCCGAAGATGCACATGATGCATTCAAATCTCTAATCCATATTTTATGCATTTTATTGTGCAAATTATTTTATTTTTTAAATTTAAATTATATAATTATTTTTATTGTATTTAACAAATTAGTTTATTATTTTTTATTTTACTAATTTATTTATTTTTTACAAATTGTTATTTTTTATTTTGCAAAAAAAGTATGTATTTATTTTTATTTAATTTTACAAATTATTTTATTAACGTATTTTTTATTTTATTTAACAAATCATTTTATTTGTTTTTATTTTTATTTATTTTATTTGTTTTTACACTGATTTTATGAGTTTGATGTTGGGTTTAAAATGTAAAATGTGAGATGACACTCCTGCAAAATCATCTACAGCATTTATAAAAATCGCACATCTAAATTTAGAAAAACTGAGAGACTTTTTGTAATGGAAGGAATCGATTTAGCCTTTGTAACTGTAGTAGCTCAAAATTAACAGCATGTCTAATCAGCCCGTTAGAAATGTTCACAGCTATGCCAACAATCCGAAACATTACCATCGCGTGAAGCCTCCTTACACAGCAATGCTGGTGCACAAAAATAACTCCCGCTGAACGTCCAGCCTCATCGAAACAACACAAACCATGCGGAGACAAAGGCCTGTTGACAGTGCAAATACGGGAAATATTTTTTTTGATCTGGTTGCGACAGTGAGTGACGTCAGTTCCTCTGCTTTGCTAACAGCAGTCCAGTAACTGGTGCTGCCAGATATATCTTTGCCAGCAGCGTACGAGATTCTCGAGCCTGGCAACACAGCTTGATAAATGATGCTCTGATTTTCTAGACTTGCAGCCCGTAGAAATACAAAACCGTACCTTCATGATTGAGTATCTGAACCAGATACTGGCTGAACGTTATCTTAAGAATGTTAAAGCAAATGTTCTCTTGCAACATCAACTTATAACTGCGTCTCAAAACACCTTCCACATAATGTTAAGAGATTTGAGAGTGGAGGGGAAAATTGTCATTGAATGATGACTTGAATATGCGTATTGGAACAAATTTCATGATTTGATTCAATTTCGAATCACAAGCTTGTAATTCAATTCTACTTTATTCAATAATGATTCAGTCAGTATCGATTCATAATAAATAGATTAATTTGATTCGTCAGTTGGTAGATTACAATAATATTAAAGTGATGTGTACAATTTTTTTTCATGTATTTTTTTAAATAAATATTTAAACAGTGGCTACTAAAACACTTTAATTTATTCAAACATAAAATATTGAACGTAAAAAATTAACAACTGATTTATACACAATACTTAATTTACATTATATACAATATTATTTAAATTATTTACATTGCACAGGCAGTTTTTATAGACATTTAAACAGTGACTGTCATAAAAAAATGACAGTTTTCATGGCGGATTTATTCAAACAAACATACATAGATATTAAAGAACAGGTTAAAAAGTAAAAGAAATATAATATATAATATAGCACATATTTAGCAAAATGCTCCTCTCTACAGTTATTTTTTCTAATTGACTAACGAGTTTATGGGAATTGAATGGCTTTTCTGAAATAAACGTAACATAATCCGTACGTTTTTTAACTTTATTGTTTAAGCTTTTTTATTGATGTTTTTCCATAGACGAAAAACTGATTGCAATTTAGCATAAACTAAAAGATCGATTTTTGGTTTTTAAAAATCAATATCTGTTTATTGAATTAAGAAAAAATCAAGAAATTAATATTTTCAATCCAGCACATTTTAGTAATTTTTTTTTTCCTTTTTAAAGGGGTCATCGGATGCAAAATTCACTTTTACATTTTAAAATGTGTCTTGGCAGTATGTGTACACAACCACCCTATAATGATAAATATCCACCCAGTGTTTTTTTTTTTTTTTTTTTT